AGGCCTGCAGACTGAAAGGTCCCAGGTTCAATTCCAGTCAAGGGCATGTACCTTGGTTGCGGGCACATCCCCAGTAGGGGGTGTGCAAGAGGCAGCTGATTGATGATTCCCTCTCATCGATGTTTCTAACTCTGTATCCCTCTTTCTTCCTTTCTGTAAAAAATCAATAAAATAAATTTTTAAAAAAAGAGAGATCAACTGAAGGACTTGTATGCATGCATATAAGTACAACCAATGGACACAAAACTCTGGGGAGGGAGGGCATGTATGGGAGGAGGGGGACAATGGTAAGATATGTACACAGATAATAATTTAATTAAAAAAATAAAAATAAAAAATAAAAAAGTAAACTAAGAGGACTACCTGTTAGATGACCAGGAGGTCTTAGAAATCTCTGAGCTAGAACCACCTTCTTAGCAATTTTCCACAGGTTGGAGAGTGCCCAGTGTAGTAACTTTGTAGGTCTTTTTGACTTTATCATATCAGTAGTTTAACAACCGCTTCAGAGAGGGGTGGGAATCTTATTTTGAGGCTTGCAGCCATGTTATAGATCCCAGAGATAGGGTCTTTTGCAGTATCAGCTCACAGGGTACACGCTTGTTTCAGAAGTTATTTCAGCATTTTTCTTCCCTATGACTTTCACACAGGTTCTCTGTTGTTATTGTTCACCTTATATTTTGAAAGCAAAAGATAATCAAGTTGAGGAAGGCCTAGTGTATGCTTGTCTGTGTGGCTGCAAATGTGGAATAAATATATATAATGCAGAGTGGCTAATATGTTGTGCTATTTATCTTCATTTGGGAGGAGAGATAAGTCAGCTAGGACCATGCCAGTCCTGATTCATTCTTCATCACTGCACTCATGAAGATAAATGCCACATTTACACAAACCACAGCTATCATGTGTTCTTTCGGACCAGAGATCAGATGGGCTAAAGCAGGAGGTCGACTCATGTCATTATTTGAAAAATCAAGGACACTTTATAGCATCTCCTACTCCCACGCATCTTGATCACCAGTGTTAAACTAGGGTACCACTAATGGCTGAAGAGATATTTAATTAGCATATATATTCAGCCATGTCTACATTCAGATATTCACTTCATTTTAATTTTTTTACGAAATGTTTATTTCCTGTGTTTGCTCAGCACAGCATCCTGCAGTGGCAATGTACTGATTAATAGGATATAGTCTTGGTTCTCACAAGGTGGTAACTGGCATAATCAAGAGGATATTATGGGAAAAATGATAAGCAAGGGTTAATTCTCTCAATGCGCATACCAGATGACCAAAGAACAAGTCAGAATAGAACTAGTGAGAAGTAATCATTTCTGAGCAGCTATGTTAAAAGAAAATGTCATGCACACATTAGCTTTCCATGATTTGCAAAAGGCTGTATCACTGTGCTTTAAGGCTATGACTGAGCAAGTGGGTAACTTCTCTGTTTTGTACTGAATTACATGTTCTGGCTTTGTTTCACTCCTCCCAGCCCTACACTAGAGTATATTAAAAACTAGGCAGAGGGATAGGGAGATTAAATCATATAGTAGCAACGGCATATAAACCACATGCAGAAAAGCTGAATCTAAATAAACAGCTTAAAAATACAAATGGCTCAATAGGACCTCTAACTTCCCAGGGATTTTTCCATGTTTGAAATAAACGCATTCTTACATAATCACATGCTTAACCTCAACAGGGAGACCAGATTGATTTTTCAGTTAAAATTTCAAAGTGGTACTGATTAAGACTTTGCTCCTTATAGTTATTGTTTATTGTTCTAGAAAAAACCCAAGTTTGATTTGGAAAACATAAAATACAGGGTGTCCCAAAAAAATGTATATACACACTTTAACAGCTGAGAGCTCCATTTTGAAAATAAAATGTATTTTAATAAACAATGCCTTTATAATTATTCAAAGTGTGTGCATACATTTTTGGAGATACTCTGTTGTTTCTTTTTGAGAGCTTGCAAAAATGCCAAGCTAGTTGGTTTACTGGCACCACCTCATTTCATGAACAAAAAAACCTTCGGCTCTGAGGGAGCTTTACAGACAAGGGAATTGAAGGCTAAAAATATCATGGAACTTGCCTAAGTCACAAAATCACTACATGTAATGTTGGGATTTAATTAACATACATTCTGTATGCTATCACATGCTCTGACCTAGGATTCATCATCATCTCCATGTTTATACTCCCCCTTTTACCCGTTTTTCTCTAGAAAAGTTCTCAGGGAGGCCCTCAACTTCTCTTGCCTTTTGTTTCCTTATCTATATCATTGGACCACTGATAGGCGCCATCAAAAAATTATATGAACTCTATGTCCTGTGACTTAATGTTGTTGGAGACAAAAATACATGCATGCACACATACATACATACATCCACATTATCTCTAGCTGTGAGAAATGTTTGAAGGAGCAAGAAAGCAGAGTAAAGGGATAGAGAAGGATGGGGGAAAGGAGCAGTTATATTTTAAGCAGCAGAGCTGAGGAAGATCTCTCTGAGCAGGTAGGTTGGTGGAAGTGAAGGAGCCAAGCCTACAGATATTTGGATAAAAGAAGTACCATTGCCATGTGCCTATATAGCTACAGCTCTGTCTGGGTGAAGAACATTCTAAGCAGAAGAGTCAGCAAGTACAAAGTTTCCTGAGGAAGCAGTGTGCTTGGTGTAGAAACAGCAAGAGCCAGTGTGGCCACAGTGGAGTGTGTGTGAGTTAGCGGTTTCAGGGATAAGTAGGAGGGATGCAGAACAAAGAAGCAAAGGTCATCCTAGGCAACCAGGTGCACTTTAGCATTACTCCACGTGATGTGGAAAATAAATACTGAGCAGAAGAATGAGCGTTATCTGACTTTGATTTTGATAGAACTCCTCCACTATACAGAGAAAAGACTGAGGTTGGGGCAGTAATAGACACCAGATATTAGATCTGGCTTTGGAATAATTCAGTTATTCACAGAGATAGAATGGACTAGGGTGCAGCAGTGGACGGGAGGAGAAGTGATGGCACTCTTGATGTACAGGATTTTCGAATGTATAGAAAAGTGGTAAGGTGCAGAGTTTATAGGATGCAGAAGTGGAGATGAAACCAAAAAGTGAAGTTTCTAGAGGACTTTAGCCTGAGATCCTAGGAGGATGGTCCCTGGAATAGTGTTTGGCACACGAAGGAGCTTAGATTACTTGGTTGAATAAATTAATATGTGAATTAATAAATTAATATGTTGCTTAATTTGCTGTTAGAAAAGCCTTTGTCAGGGATGGAGGTTGAGTTAGAATGGAGAGTTTCTTTTGGAGAGGTTATTTCTAAAGCCTCCAACTGGAAGTCTTAGATTTGTGGGTATATATCTGTGTTGCCAGCTTTAGATGTTTATATTTTTGGCAGTCTTTAGTTTGCAGTGGTGTTTAAAGTCACTATGGGACCACTTTAAGAGTAAGTATAGATACAGAAGAGCCCCTTAAGGGATCCCAGGTGCACTCTAAGGTTTATGGCCCAAGAGATAAGGCAGAGCTAGTGATGGAGGCTGAGCCTAGTGACCAGTGAGGTGAAAGGAAAATGGAGAGGGATTTTCTGGGAGCCAAGTGCAGGGAGGACAGAGTGGTCACTAGGTCTAATGCTGCTCATTTTTGCCTAATATGGGAAATGAGAATTGGCTACTTGATTGAGCAATTGACCTAAGTGTTCATTTCCTGCCTCTTCTTTGTCCCTTTTGCACACATTACTCATTGCCTTGCTCTCACATTATTATAAATCCCAGGCACATTAACTTATAACTCATATTTTATATGCCCTATTGAAGGGTAGTTAATGGTTCTTGAAACTGAGATTTGAGGAAACTTTCCATAAGACTAAGTTAGCTTTTTTTTAAAAACCAATGACAAAAAAATCCACAGATCATCTCAGAAATAAAATTTAATCTTATTCTGTTTTACTTATGGAATAACAATGATACCCATCCATGGTATATTGCTTATAAGTTTATGAAACATTTTGACTTACATTATCTGTTTCACACAAAACCATGTCACACAGTAAAACACTCACAGCTTCAGAGCTCCACCACCTGCTAGCAACTCCTTGAAGGAGTCAACCATAGACACACACTTCACTCCTCCTCATCCCTTGAAGATTTTAACACCTGCCTCCCTGTTGTTCTCTGCAATCCTGCTCCTGATAGAATTCTTGGTGATTTCAATATCCGTGTCAGTCCCTGGGTGTTGATGACTAATTGCATGGGCTTTTTCTGGCTGCTCTTGTTCACGATTTCCCCTTTTTTGAAGCCTGCACCAACTGCATGTCTAAGCTGTAAAGATCTGTATTTGTTGGAATGAAAGATTGTTCAGTTTACTTCATTATGCTGTGCAAAATGCCAGCTGAATCTCTTCATGTTTCTTTGCTGCAATTACTCTGTGGCCCTCAAGATCAGATTCTAAATTTTAATCTGCCATTGCCACCAGAGTGTTAGGAAGAGAATGGGGACAGAATGAAGAGTGGGTAAGATGAGAAGATGTTCATATCTTTCTTGGTTTGGGATGTGGGGGAAAAAACAATTGGAGTTTGCAGCAGAAACCAATGTCAAACTCTTAACATGTCATTTGACCTTAATAATTCAGATAGTTCTGCTTAACTGTTTCTTATCCATATTCAAAATATATGATCCCATTTGATCTTCAGAGATAGTTTTGATCAAGACACTGAAACAGAGAGCATGGGACTTGCTTAAGGTCATGCATCTGATAAATCAGAACCAAATATAGACTACAGATCTCCTGACACCAATTGTATTTTTTATTTGCATTAAGTAAATTGCATTACATTATGCATTGTTCAAAATGGTCAGTGGTTAAAATGGTTGCTTTGGCTTTCTTCCCAGGAGAGTGTTAAAATACAGTTGTGATTCAATATTATTGTCACCAGTGTTGTCTGTGGTGATGGTGGTGGCTGCGGATAGAGAAATACGCTGAATTGTTCTAATGTATGCTTTTGTGTTGTTTTTTTTAGATTGTCAAACACGTTGCCTGTTTATGCATGGAGACCACAATGGAGAGCTAGGTGGGTGATGATTCATGCTAAATCTTTCCCGCAACATCCTGAACACCACAGCATCGGCTAGTGGGCAGTGGCTCATTCTCATTATACACTGTCAACTCCAATAACAGTGATTGGCTTTGCCAGCATGAGCAACTGCAAACTAATGGATTAAAAAAAAAAAGGAGGCTGCAATATAGTAGAAAAGACATATGTGGAGTCATATATATATATATATATATATATATATATATATATATAATTTTTATTTTTGCAAATTCCTTGTTTGTTTCTCTTTGCCAGTTTAGAAATAGCCTTCATGTTCCCAGCTCGGCCCCAGAGATATCTGTGTCCTGGGATTCCCTTCTCTTGTGAATGCCTCCTCCTTTAGTCATACTTTAAGGGCTAAAGATGTTTTAAAGGTAGTGATGGCTCATAGTTGAAGCTGGATTAGTGTTTCTCCTGTGGAAATATTTCTGGAGCTCCCTCCTCACCACAACCTCCCACCACCACCCTCCAGCCAATCATGCCAGATACACAAACATGCTTACCCTCCACTGTAGCACATCATCCATGGGTGGTATTTTTATCCACAGAGAGGAGATAGGAGGCAGCAGGCAGAAGCACTGACTTTTTGCTCTGTGGTTTATGATCAAGTGTCTTTTTTTTCTCCATTCCATTATCATCTCCTGGAAGGCAGGGCCCTGGGTTTATTTTAGTGTAGTACCTATGAACCATAGTTGTCCTGCCTTGAATATTTACCAAAAACATTAATGCAGACCCTTTTAAAAAGTCCATAATTAAGTTGTGAGTAGGGTTTAATCTGGCCTTCTTCATCCCTAAGACAGTGCCTAACACACAGTAGGTTGACACTACCTGTTTGTTTAGTGAAGGAACAAGGGTTTGAATGAGTCCATCCTTCAGATGGTACCTTGTGGCTAAATTAAAGGCAAAGTAAACCCTTTCTAATTAGAGACAAAAAAAATGATGATTTATAGTATTTCCCTTCTCTCTCTCTCTCTCTCTCTCTCTCTCTCTCTCTCTCTCTCTCTCTTATCTTTTTTGGAGGGGGAGGGGGCCACCAGAAATAATGCCCTAAAAGTGGTTGTTTATTTTGGAAGGCAAAAGCTAATCAGAATCTGTTTTCTTTATTTTTATATTCAAATGTCTGTATAACAGCAAAGCACCAGAGACCTATTCATTGCTCACAAATGATCTATGAGGTAATAATGCGCTTGCATTTCCAGCTGTGCTGCATTTTGGTGCTATCCTGGGTTTAATTGAAAATATGCTGTGACCTTGGTTTTGTTCACTGGGCATGGGGGGTGTCTAATTGGCATGAGACCTCTGAAGAACTCCCTTTTACCAAATGCTATTTAGCTAATTTGGGGTTCACCTTCGGGAAATCATGTGTGAAGTCCTATAAGTTCAAGATGCATATTATTTGCATGCAAATCACATGGAGCTAATAGTTCTTTTTTAAAAAGAGATTAACTTTTTACTTTGCTATACCTATTTGTTGAATTCTACATGCTATAAGTATGATAATAGTGTTGGCCCAAACAGTCTCATGTTTCATCATAATTAAATAAACAGCTTGTGAATTGCAGTCCAAAAGATGTCTGTGTTCCACTCTTAAGGGGTTTCCATAGGAACCGTGGGCAGCAAGTTTTACTGACATTTATTAGACTTGAGGCTATATGCAGCATTGATATCTGTTTTTTTTTTCCTCTGTCCCTCTGTGCATATGTCTCCTTCTCTTCCTTTAACCCTCACAATCCTCTCCCCACCTCAGTCCTTCCCTCCCCCTCGTTTTCCTCCTCCCCTTCTCTTATGAGCAATGAGGAAGTAATTTGGACTCATTTAGATTTAACAAATGCAATAATACTAAAATGAGCTCTGATACTTAAGTGTAATTGTGTTATTAGCTGGAAATGTTTTTCTTCAAAAACAAAAGAATTGAGAGTGAAGTTTACTCGAATAGCACAAGCTGGCAAAAAGGATCCTAGTGGAAAATTTGCAGTCTACATGTCACAGTCTACATTCGTATGCGACAACAGCTTTTCCTTCATTTAGTCAACCCAGACTGATGTTTCTCTTCAGTCCTAATTTTCACCATAGTTTTTATGCTGACTATATTCCGAGAGAAAAGATAAGTTTATTTAGAGGAGAAAACATACTCTATATATTGTATGCCTACTGTAGGCCAGATATTTTGCTATGCAATTTCATTTAAGTTGTCTTAGTTAATCACACCAAATATACCGCCAGGCAGGAAAATGAATTTGGAGCTGGTGGTTAAAGTTTAGTGCCCCTTCTCCCCAAACAGCTGTCTTGGTAGAGTGCTTTAATGCTGTTTTAGTTTTTCAAAGAAAAAATGAATATAAAGCACTTCTAAAAATGGACTTGTATTTGGATCAGTGATGATAATGTAGCCAGTAGTGATGTTTTTCTCTATCCCTTTAAAAATGAGGAAAATAAGTTGCCAAAAGAATAAGCCATTTATCCAAAGCTTAAAGTGTGTACATGCAGTGCAGTGGTTAAAATGGGTCAATTTAGATAGATGTCGGATCAATTACTGATGGTGTGATTTGGGGTAAGTGATTAACAGAGCATCTAATTGAAGGATCATGCAGTTGTGATGGGGAATTAAGTAAAATTGTATATGTAAAATACTCAGAGAGTGTATGTCAGCTAGAAAACCATATTTATTTATTTTTAGCTGTTCCTTTGCCTTCTGAATTATTTTGTTTTTAGTATGGATTTAAAGTAAAAAAAAAAAAAAAGATTGATCTTTAAAATGTATCTCATACTCATAGTTTAAAATGATCTCCCAATTCATAAACTCTCAAGGTATCCTTAATAACTATGATAAAGGAAATACAGGTAATATCACACCCATTTTACAGGTTAGCATAACGGAGATCCAGAGTGTCATTGACAAGCTTTCCCTACAGTGAAGAAAGAAGTTGAAATTTTTACGTAGGTCTCTAGGGTTCTAATATTAAAACTCCCAAAGTTCTTCTTTGGGTCCTATGTCTGTGTGTTTTAAAGCAGATTTTAATTCATATTTATCATTATGGTGAGAGGAAGAAACTTTGGGCAGGGAAGAAGAAAATGAAATAGGGAAGAGATACTTACAAAATCTGCCTCTTGGAGACCTGTTTCTAGGTGGTTCCCTTACGATTCAAAGGGACATGTACAATTACAATCTCAAGCTTAAGGGCAGATGAGGCATTGATTTTGTATAGCAATACTAGAGTGTTTCTGGTTAGAGAAAAAGGATGGGATGGAAAGGAAAAAAAAAAAAAAAGAAAACTCAAGTCAGGTATTAGTCAGAGATGTTGGTGAGCACCCAGAGAATACAGAAGTGAGTGTACAGTTAGGATAAGGGTGTGATGGGGCATGATTGCTGGAGAGTGTGATCATGAACACACACACAAACACATATACATGGATACATCCACATATACATAGACACATATATAAAGGATTAATCTGAATGAGCATGTCCTTCAATTATTATTTTACTGCCTCAAAGAGCTTATACTAGGAGATACAATGTTAACTCTACCATTTTTATTTGTTGTAAGTTTAGGCTTCCTTTATTACTATAATATGCATTCTGTGTTATCTTTGAAAGAATCCCCATAAACCTCTTTCTTCATTTTATATTAATTAGTTAAAAATAAATAATATAATCCCTAAAGCCACTTACCCAGACACCCAGGAATAGTAGCAGTCACGATGTGCTGAAAGCATATGAATAGGTCATTCATAGCAGGTAACCACTCTTTGTTGTGGAAGTTCCTTCTTTTGCTCAGGATTTCTTATATATGTTATGGGACACATAGCTTCATTGCCAGAGTAGTGAGTCTTAATCCCTTTCTTATTTCTTAGATGAAACAAATTATAAATATACATTTTAATATTTTTTTATGCCCGAATGGATCATCTTGGTAAACTTGGCACTGAGGTGAGCGGCTAAGAAAATAAATATTTCTCGATACTCCACAGAAGGGTCAACACATTTGCTTTGTAGAGGGGCAAAGAGTAAGTATTTTAGACTTTGTGAGCCATATAGTCTGTCACAACTGCACAATTCTGCTTTACTGTGATAGCAGCCTTAAATAATATATCTGTGGATGGATGTTTAAGTGTTCCAATAAAACTTTATTGAAAAAAAAAAACCACAACAAGTGGTAGGTTGAACTTTGTTTATGGGCAGTAGTTTGCCAACAATTGATCTTAAAGTTTTGTTTACATCTCCACCTACCTTCCATGTCTGTTCATGTGGCAATTATATCTTAAATGATAGGGCAGGGAGTATAGGAGTGACAACCATATCATACTCTTCCCTCATTTTGTGTATTATACTTTTTTTTTGTCACACTTACTTTTGATTACTTTTTTCAGTATTTCTTTAGCATAGGAAGAGCATATGTTCTGTCTGTACTATACAGAAGGGTACAGAAAATTTAGGTGTCTCTCATTAATGACGCCTAGCATCTATAGGATCCATCTTTCTTTCTGTTGGATTATTCTTTCTAAAATGCATCATTTAGATAATAAAGAAAGATGGTGGGAGAAATAACCAAGAAATAAAATTTAATTATTTGAACCAAGGAAAAGGTAGTTTAGTAAGGCCTAAATAGGGCCATTCATAGGCTCTCCTACTATCTTATCCCATTAAGGTACCCTAGAGGACTTAGTTCCTTATTGCTCTTCATGTGTATTCCTGCTTTTTGTCACGATTTACTTTTAGATATACTGCATTGTAGGCAAACAAATGCAGGAAAATAGAAGTTCTTCCTTTGCACAGTACTGTGTTAACTGAAGCTTATTCATATTGCAATTGAGTCCTCATTTTACAAGGTTCCATGGTAACTGAGTGCAAATCTGTTATAAAAGAACTGTGCAAAAAGGACTCGGTTCCAATGTGAATGAACTATGGTTAACACTGGCACCACGCAAAATGAGGACTGCCTTAAGCAAATAAATAAGAATCCAATTTCCAAATGTCC